TAAAAAAAAAAAAAAAGCCCATGAATGTCATGTCAACACAGTGACAAACTGGCAATTTCAGAAACTGCCACAAAATATATTTACTTTGTTAAAATATCACTGTATCATGCATGGATCTACATTTTGACAATACAGGGTAAACTCAACCCCAAATCAAGAAAACTGTTCAAGATCAACACAAATACTCTAGTAGACAGTGTTTTCAGTCCTTCTGGTTTTCTCAAAAATTCCTAATAACTAAAGGCCCTAAACACAAAGTACAAGGTGGTCTTTAACTGAAGCGGAGAGGAACGAAGCAGTATGATAAAGCATGTAAGTTTCTAATAAATAGAAAGCAAACACCCAATAATTGGAGCTTACTCGGGATGAATTGGCACCTGGACAGATGTTCACACAATACACTGAATTCTAACTGGAGCACAACAAAGTACAATGAAGCAATTATCATGCCAGTGTGCAGAGAGTAAAAAATGTCAACAAGGCTTAACCTTGTAATACACATTGAAGTTTAGGGAAGAAATAAAATAGGACAGGAAGAAACAAAGAACCCCAGGAAGAGAAATAACTCACCTGATAGCAGACACCTAGTAAACCAAAACACCAAATTTTGATTCAGGACAGACCTAGAAAGTTCATTATTTATGAATGAGATTGGTAGTTTTAACAAACCTACCAAACAACTGAAATCAAAACTACATTAAACTACAATTTTAGAGTTTAGAAAAGGGTAAAGAGCTGTTAACATTTTAGTCTACACCTTTCACAACCACCATCCCCAACACACACACTCAAATACACTGATACTGTTAACCTTCTGAAATCTTACTAAATACCAGTAATTTTTAAATGGGGGAGGATGGAGTAAATGGGAAATGGGAACAAAACTTTAGAAGCTATAGAGGCATCTTAGAATACCCTATCCAAAACCCAACAAAAACTTAAAAAGTGGCAGCCAAGTTCCACGTGGGTAAATGAGGTGAAAGAGGGAGGTTTGGTTCAAAATCTATTGACAATCTAAGGCCTCCAGATCTTCTCTAAGAACTGATTGTGCCGCCCCCCCTCCAAAACTGGCAAGAAACTGGAGCAGGTTTTGGACACATCAGTCCAGTTTTTCAGAGAAAGGTGGAATACCTCTCTAGTGACTCTGACCAAAGAACAAGGGATTTTTTTTTTCTTTTAATTTTGACAGGGTCCCAGCTCACCTGAACTATGTAAGACCAGGCTGGCCTCAATCTCAGAGATCTGCCTGCCTTTGCCTCCCAAGGGCTAGGATTAAATGAGCCATCATGGCCAGTGTTGAGGGTTCATTTTTAAAAGGATCTACTTAGTAGGTTAAGGATCACCTAACATCCCACGAAATTTTATTTCTAACAGATACCCAAGCAACAGGAAAAGAAAAGTACCTTTGGTTATTTTATAGGGTTGCCACTGCCCTGGCTAGCCATAACTGAGCTCCAGTGATCTATCTACCTTGCCCTCCCCAGGGTTGAGGTTAAAGATTAAGCTATCAAGTAACAGAAAGATGAAGATTAGTCATTCAAGACTATTTGTGTAAATTGAGAAGAGGGCTGAGAAATTGTAAGAAATCCATTTTTAAGGTTTAAATTGTATTATCTGCTCAGAAACTGAAATGGAAATAAGAAAAAGTTGCCCAAGACACATGCCCTCTAAGAAACTCTAAAAAACATCACAGGAACATTTCCCAGAATGAAGAGCAAATTTACACAACATGTAATTCACTGAATGTTTGGCACACTAGAGTAACACTAGTAACAGAAGCAATGTCCAAGACTTCATGTAAGACCTAGATTGAAAAGAACATTACATTGCTTCACCAAACCTTTCTCTATCCAGCCAAACTAGTAATCCAACCAGAGTGTAGAGGACAGGAAGGTCTCAGAGCTATGGGAAGATCACTGTTGAAAGCAAGCAAGCAAGCAAGCAATGATTTAGGAAATAAAGGACCTTGAGGCAAAGGAAATTCCTGAAAAGGCAACCAGTGCAGACTGGATGTAAAATCAAGAAAAACAAAGTTGACAATGATCAGATTTATACCAGTGGCAACAATTCAACTACTTAGAATTAAGTGTCCAGTAGTCAGAAAAACCTCCAGGTCTAAACAGTTAATGCCCAAGATGGATCTGGGGATAGAATTAAGTGTGACTTAATGGGTGCAATATAATTATTAAAGAGCCAGGTTGTCTAAAATTCTTTGTGAAAGTGTAACTTGTATGGTCAGGAATAGAATGGCTTAAAATTTAAAAAGTTACTAGTCAAATCTGAGTCCACTGGTTTTCTACTTTCTACCAACTACATCTGCCAAACATGGAGCCTATAAATTTCAACAATGAATCAAGATTAATCTGGTAGCATTTCATGAGCCATGCTAAAAGCTATCTTGAACCAGATTCATCCCCCATTCAAGCTTTTTTATGAGGTAGTTGCATAAAGTAAGCATAATTAAGTAGTTTAGCCTAAATATTCCAATACAATCTTTCCACAGATCTAGATGCAGGACAGCATTCTCTGCTTAAGTAAGCCAGGTTAACTGGCTTTCCAGATTTGTCATAACTACACAACTGCCACTCTAATATATAAGCAGTCATGAGCCTCTGAGCATACTTTTGTCTTGGCATACTTTTTACAGAAACAGGTTGCAGGCCCCTAATTTAGAAGTTTATTATAAAATTTCGATTTAATAGCACTGATTTTTAATCAATAAAATGTCTACGGGGGGGGG